GGTACAAACCACGTGAATATTTCAATCCATGTATTTCCAGTGTGGACTAGTTTTCTGTTGGTATAGTTCGTAAAATTACACGTATCATAATCAACTTCAATTGAAGCCTCTATATATTTGTATGATGAGCTGCAAATTAATAACTAGCTAATTAGTTATTTAGTTAATGAGGCATGGGTGAACACATCTTGAAATATGAACAATTGGTATTCCAAGAAAGAGAAAAGTTGATAGACAAACATTAGAAAAATTGACAAGAAACGTAGATAGTCAAATAATGTGGACTGTGAATAGTAAGGTCTAATGATTTCCCCATACATAGAAGTAGATCTAAAATATTACCTAGTCTACAACACGTTTTTTAAAGGGTATCATAATAGTTATAAGTTGGGCTGCAAATGAGGCGAGTCGAGTCGAACATTGACCTTATCGAATAGGATTTGTTTTTTCTTTTTAACTGCTCGACCTCGATTAATTATGAGGCTCGAGCTCGACTCGATAAAAAATACAATTGTTCGAGCTTGGCTCGAGCTCAACTTGAAAATGCTGAAGCTCGGCTCAAGTTCGGCTCGAAAATTTTTAAGTGAAAAAATAAAATTACCATTAAACACTTATGTTATACTACTGTAATATATAATGAGTATTTTAGTAATTCAACATATATCTCGAGCCGCTTGACAATGAAAAATACGGGCTCGAGCTCGACTCGAGTTTGGTCAAACTCGAGCTCAAGTCGAGCTCGAGCTGCTCGATTCGTTTGCAGACCTAATTAATTATATGAAGGTGCTATATTCATTGTCGTTCCTTATTAAATAAATACTTAGGTTTGGCCTAGGGTTATAAGACAAGCCGAGCGGTCGCGAGCAACTCAATGTCTCTCGGCTCGAGTTTGAGTCTTTAGTTTGTAACTTCGAGCGTTCGAGGAGCCGCTGAGATATAATCCCTAACTAGATTTTTCAACCGAATATTTTGAATCAAACTCAACTCGAACGCAGTCACGCCGATCTCGAGCATGTGTGTTCTTTTGTTGACTCAAGCAAGATGAGCTTGAGCTCGGGCAAGTGTCAAAATAATCGACCATGGATTGATATAAGGTCAATTCGACTGGACTCGACTCATTTGCACCATAATATGACCACTTATATATCATGCATACACAAATATTTTTCTAATGTTTAATTATATATATATGCTAGATCTCTCATATATAAATACACAAATACCTTTTTAATATACTAGTAAAGTGCACGTGCATTGCACGTGGTGACGAATGTATTTTGCTGATTAAGTTTAGTAAAAATAATTAATTAATTTATTAAATAATTCATTGTGGGAACAAAATAAAATGTAGAACAAATGAGCTCCTAATGTATTTTTTTTTTTCAAAAATAACATAACGATGTACTAATATAAAAAAGAATAAAATAACATATTACAACCCCAACAAAAATACATGAAAAATGACTCCATAGTTTTTTTTAAAAAAAAGAGAAAGTCTAAATAGCTAAATAAAGGTATCATGTATATTACAAATGCATTAGTTCTTTTATTTATTTATGTTTGATGATTCAAGAGTGATTTTCTTTTATTTTAGTTTTGACGTTCTCATAAAAAAACATTCATACCCATTCGAGTTCTATACATCAATAGGCAATTTCTTCTTAAGTCGTTAGGCAAAAAGTCTACTTTATTCAAACAATGCAAAATATTTTGTCTAAACATATAATCAAACTCTATGATTATGAACTTTATAAGGTATTGCTAATAACAGTTAATGAATATCGATCTCTGTGAAATAATCAACCGTGTCATTAAAATTGCAGATATGTTTTTATTATTTTTTAAACTACTACATTATTCTCTCTCCATATAGACAAATTGACATCTCCCCTATGGAGGCATCACCCCACGGGGTGAGAATGAGTTTCATTTCCAAATAAAAATTGACATTTCAAAATCTTGGTTACATATACTTCTCCCGAGACGTTAAATTATTTGTTTAAATCATCACACATTACATGAAGACTAAATTATTGTTTGAAATCATCATACATTATATGAAAATATATACGCTAGAGTAATTGCACATATGTTCGAGCACAATACACCGGTTTCAAGTTTTGTTCATAAATTTTTTTTAAAAAGTATATTGTTTTTAATGATTTTCTTATATTGAATTAAGAAAAATCATGTTTTTTTTAATATTTTCTAACTTATATGTGTTGAAAATGTATTACAGATGAGAAAGATGACAATCTATGAAAAGTATAATTTATAAATTGTAGTGCATTATGTTATTTTGATGGTATACTTTTTCTATTAACTAAATAGTGCCCTCAATAAGAAATAATTTTGTATCCTCCACTGCAAATAGCTTTCCATAAACTTATATTGAATTTTTTAATATGATATTTAATATTATATTAAAAAAGAAAATAAAAGGTTATTTAAAATTAAAATAATCACTTTTTTTCTAAAAAATAAAAGTTCTAATCTACATGGATAAAAGCACAAATAACTACTGGCTATCACCTAAAACTTACACATAAAAATAATAAGCACAAAAAATTAACAAGCATTGAACAATTCAATTCGTTTGCATCGATAAGTACAATTTTAAAAGTTTTATATTTATTTTTATTAATTATAATATTTTTATTTATTACTTTTTTCATATTTATTAGTAAGTATGACAACATAATTATATTTTTTTATAATATTTGATAAGTTTTATATTTTTGTACTTTATATTGTTCTTTCATATGTTCTTCACCTAATGGTCAGGTGAAAATCGTTAACTTTATTGGCCTTGTGACCAAAATTGAAAAAAAATAATCAAACAAACAAATAAATAATTTTTTTGTGGGATAAAAAATCAATTCAATAAATATAAGGTGCATTTTCTAAAATAAGATTTTATTTTTCTTAAATAACGAAGTGGCTAAATGAATTGATCCACTTTTCTAGTTTGTTAGAATATGTATATATATTCGCAATACCAATGAATATTATTCGTTGCGATTTTCAATGGAAAGACTGACCGTTGTATTTATTATTGCAATATAGCAATTTTTTGTGTATTCTTTCTTAAACATTAAAACTTTTATGTAGTAGTTTTTGTTATTAATTAAAGTAATTACGATTTTATATTAAAATTATATTAAAAATAAGGATGTTTTTTCAAAACATCAATTATATATATTTTCAAAGCTTTGTTGTCTGGGTTGATTTTTTGGAGATATGAAAAAAAAAAAAACAGTTTGACAAATATGTGAAAGAAGCAAATTCGTGAGGAATAATGATATGAGAATATTGAGGCTGATTTTTAGGAGACTAATTTGCCATTAAAAATAAGTCAAAGTAAATGTTTTTTAGGTAGTTCATTTGTTAATTAAAAATATAAGATAAGATAAGTATTACTGTACTACTAATTTGTCATTAAGAATATGTGAAAGTAAGAACATTTTAGGTAGTTTACATTTTTACAAAACCACTCGTCCTTTTATAATAGTATAGATAGATAGATAGATATAGATGTAGATAGATAGATAGATAATTATAAATATTTACTAGATCTCTCATACAATCTTGTTCTTTAATTCATGTATGTGAGCACTTGCAACAGCAGTCAGCTTCGGCAACTTATGTGCTCATGCATTCTTTAATTTATGATAATGTTATTTCCCTAAAAAAATTGCAATTTTGTGTAAGAAATATTAGTGATGTCGTTTGCAATTAATATTTGTGTCTATGCAGCGTGTAGTAACTTGTTAATTACCTGCAATAATTAGCTTTTCGAATCACACTAGATGACAGGAGGTGACAGGCCCGGTTGAGTGTAACTGCCTTGCATCTTAGTTTAGTTTAGTTTTTTAGTTGATCAGTTGTTGTTTTCGGTTGTGCGTTTAGTCCACACTTGTGTGGTACTCCTATGGTTCCGGCTGTTTGATTGTATTGAACTTCGTTTTGTTTTTCTGATTGTTATGAGATCTCTATCGATTNAAATCACACTAGATGCCTCAAGTAGATACACTGTACACCTCTAACTACTACGAAATATATGTATAACAACTTACAAGTAATATTTTCTTTTTCCTAAACATAATTGACTCGTATATGATTACCTCATATAAGTATCCTTTATGGAATACTGAAATTAAGGACAATTAATATTTAAAATTTCTTCTCACCAAGAAACAATCTCACATGAGACACAAGTATTACGTTACTTGGATGGAAAATAGGCACTGACCATAAGAAATTCGTTCCAAATTGATCATGAAATTTAGAGAGCCGTGTAATAAGCAAAAGCCAGCAATTGAGTCTACTATTTGACTCTTCTTATCACAGCTTCCATATTCAAACACTGTAATTTATTAAGGGAAATACAAATATATTACCAATTTTCATAAAAAATTATAATATAATGATATATAAAAAAAATATTTTCAAATGTTAGTATAGAATCACAAATTTTGATGTCATATATGCTTGAATTAATATACAGTTGAAAGTGAAGTTATATGGGCGGTCAAACCCCATCGGTTGATATTTTGATCCCTTGGATGCGTTCAAAATAACAATCATGATGATTAATACATAGCGCGCCTATCCACCTCAATTTTGGTTTGATAATCCGAATTATTCAACCCCTCAAGTTCTGATCGGATTAAAAAAAATAATAATAAAAATTGTGCTAAAATACCCATCATTTTTTCACTCGACCTTTTTGACTTTGGAGGTTTAGACACAATAAGGTTTACATATTAGCTACACTAACACTACGTACTACCATAGTTTTAAATTAATTTAACTATAGCCGCCTTTCACTTTTAATTGATCGATATCAACTACTTTTAATCAGCTCTCTTTTTTCATTTTATTATTATTATTATAGACCAGAGGCCAAATTGATCTATTTCAAATATCGGTCTTCTTCATTAAAAACTTTGATACATTCTCTCTCCCTCTCTATTTCTCTGAGAAAATAGTTAATAGAGATGAACGTTAATCCATTATTTGATCATGAATCTTCCTCTTCGTCAGCATATAAACAAAATTCAGATTCACCTCATCATATTCCTCTTCTCATCAAAATGATTCCGAATCGGCAAATGTCACAACTAGAAGATGATCATCACAACAATTATAAACCTAGCAATCATAGTATTAATGGCTACAAAGAGATGATCACGAGCTTGGAGAACAATATTCCACGATCTACTTCTAATCATGACGAAGAAGAAGATGATGCAGCCGGTGCCGGAAAGAAAAAGACCGGTGACAAAAAGTCAAGGAAACCCAAGTACGCTTTTCAGACAAGAAGCCAAGTCGATATACTTGATGATGGCTACAGATGGAGGAAATACGGTCAAAAGGCTGTCAAGAACAACAAATTCCCAAGGTTATTTATTATTAATCTTCATTCGCTTCCTCTTGATTTGATTGATGATCATTACCAAGAGTTTTATTTGCTAAGTTCTAACTCCTTTATGTGTAATTAATTTCTATTGACATATATGTTCTCTCTCTCTTTTTGTTCCTTATCTAATATTCCAAGTTGGATGTTCATGTTGCACTAAATATTATTGATCATGATTTAATTGAACAACTAATCCTTTGTTCTACTAGCTGTAGGAAGTGGAATTCATACACAAAAATGTAGGGTTAGGACTCATGAGCTTAGATTCCCGAGTCTGATTGATCATAGCTTTATATATCAATCTCGCGCGAGATATCACAAGTATTAGATGTTTGATCAAGTCACAAGAAAAAATAATCAGAAGGGTGCTTATTAAGGTTGAAAGATCAATTTTAAGTCTCCAAAATAGGATAGAAAGAGCATCCTGCATGTGGTCAAGCTTCTAGGCATTTATGTTGGAATAAATCCTAGTCTCATTTAGCAGCGAACAATTAATTCACATAGTATTGCAAGCATCGCGATTTTTTATTAATTTCCTAAATAAAATTAGTTATGAATGAAATTGTCAGTGTGCTAGCAGAGTAGCATAGTGCATCTATGTATATATCAAGCTAGTGTGATAAATGTTACAGTGAGTTTAATTATAATCAATTAAGCATATATAAACTGAATGAGTGGAAGCAAATGGAACATAGAAGTATGTAGGTATTAAGTACTAACATGAATATTTTCGCGCAGAAGCTATTACAGGTGCACACATCAAGGCTGCAATGTGAAGAAACAAATTCAGAGGCTATCGAAAGATGAAGGCGTTGTGGTGACAACCTACGAAGGCATGCATTCTCATCCAATCGAGAAATCGACTGACAATTTTGAGCACATTCTTAGTCAGATGCAAATATACACCTCCTTCTAAGTATATCTGTCTACTGATATGTATGTTGCAATCCAGACATCTACAATGACAATAAATTAATTGTACCTCGTACATTGATTTAGACTTATTAGACTCTCATGTAAAATTAAAACTATATATGTAATGGCCGATCCAAGTACATTGGTTGTGTGTTAATTGATTAGCACTAATCGAGTATGTTGATATACTATAAGTTGAGATGAGGTACAATTTATATATTTTAAAACCATATATATAAATACACTTTTTGTTTTACTTGCCATGTGTACAAAATTGGCTCCAGGGGTCAAATTTTGCAGAAAAATTGCTAAGGTCAGATTAGTTCCATATGTTATCATCTCATCATAAATGAATGTAGCTGCATACATATGATAAATGCATGTTTTCCTATAATTCCTCTAATTCCATCTCTAATGTCTGTCGACTGAATCCATGTATGGAACGGAGAATAGGGGCCCAAAGAGAATGGGCTTTTGTAATAAAATGGGCTGATAGATAAGAGGTTGTGGGGTAATACTAAGAGCATCTCCAACACTTTACTCTACTTGAAGTAGAGTTCAAAATTTAAATTTTATCTCCAGACATTTGCGTTACATTTTTCTCTACATTAAATATATTATTTTTTATTTATTTTTATTTCAATAAATTGTAATATATATGTATATTTAATCTTAAGTCATTTGAATTTTAATTATATTGTTTTTATTTGTGTATTTTGTGATTTATGTGCGTAGTAAACTTTTACTTTTAATAAAATCTAATTGTGATAAAGTTTTATTAATATGATATTATGCTATTAAAGAAATTCTAAAATAAAATTGTAATACATTAATAAATAAAAAGCACAAAATTATTTAACACAATAAACATTTACTAAAACACATAACACAATAGTTTACCAATAATATTACATAGAAATACATTAAAAAAAAGCTATAGAGTGAAGCTACAATATTGCGTCACATCTGGCGCAACATTGTTCATATATGTAGAATAGAGTTGATTTGTAGCGATGCGTTGGAGAGAAAAGTTTCTCTAGTCTAGCGCAAAAAGGTAGATTTGGTGCTGCATTACGGACGCTCTAAACTTTATGTAAAGGTTGTGTGTTGATATGGCTCATATATTGACAAAGGAAGGAGGCAGGCCGATGCCTGCGAGCGGAGCTTCGCGAGCAGGCATCGGCCCTTTGTTGGGCTGGGTCGATTAGCTGGGCCGGGGGTGCGGGGGCGGAGCCCCCGCGGTACGGTACGGGGTATTTATGTAAATTTATACCTTGTAGGGATATGATATAAATACATGGTGTATTGATGTATTTGGTATATCGTGAATAATAAGATCTCTGCTCCGCCGTGGACGTAGGCATATTGCCGAACCACGTAAATCTTGTGTCATTTTTACTTTCTCGTCTTTAATTCGTATTGTTCCCGTTTCACAACATTGTGAATATTTGCAAATAACGCAAAATATATAAAGTTTACTTGACAAAAAAGAAAAAGAAAAAGAAAAAAAAAGTTCAATTGTAAAGAGGAACCTAAATGACGGTCTGGCACAAGAACTGATTAAACATAGACTTATGAGTTGGGCTAAAGCCTGAAGATAACTAGATTCATATATATGTATTGAGTTGCTTAAATTATCCGTATAACAAAAATTTGTATAAGAAAATGATCAAATAAAATAAAATATGCATGGAACACAAAGAAATTGTGCACGAGTTGGTAGCCAGAAGGTCAATTATATTATTAGAATATAATAACATTTGTGAGTTGTCCCACATAATTTATACAGAGAAAATAGATTTAACTTATAAACCTAATAGGCTGTTCTTCCTACTACTAATTGGTTTTGGGATAACTTATTGTTGTAGAAATAAATGATAAAATGGCGAATTAAGAACAAGTTTCAACACGTATACGTATTAAAAATTTGTAAATAGAAACCACAAATATCAACTACATGAACATTGAAGAAACAGACATTTCGATACTGTGCAACGAGTACTACGTCTTTTCTCCCAGGATAAGACAACTCAAAATGTAAACACTGCACTATCTTACACACTAACCTCGATCAAAATCTCAGTTGTCAAGAAGCCTTAATTTTTTTTATATATATATAGGGGGCGGATCAAATGGGACCAGCTCTTAAAATGGGACCAGCTCTTAGCAACTACAGACAACTAACCTAACAACTACATAGAACTAACCTAGCAACTACAGACAACTAACCTAGCAACTACAGAGAACTAACCTAGCAACTACTAACTTAGCAATTACAGAGAACTAACCTAGTAACTACAAAGAACTAACCTGGCAGCAAGAAAGAAATAACCTAGCAACAAAAGATAACTAACCTAGCAGCATCAGACAACTAACCTAGCAGCAAGAAAGAACTAACCTAGCAACAAAAGACAACTAACCTAGCAGCAAGAAAGAAATAACCTAGCAACTTAAGACAACTAACCTAGCAACAAAACTCAACTAACCTAGCAGCTACAATTAACTAACCTAGCAACAACAGACAACTAACCTAGCAACAAAACACAACTAACCTAACAGCTAAAAATAACTAACCTAGCAACAAAAGACAACTAACCTAGCAACAAGAAAGAAATAACCTAGCAACAAAAGACAACTAACCTAGCAACATCAGACAACTAACCTAGCAGCATTAGACAACTAACCTAGCAGCAAGAAACTAACCTAGCAACAAAAGACAACTAACCTAGCAACAAGAAAAAAATAACCTAGCAACTTAAGACAACTAACCTAGCAGCTTGATAGGGAGTTGGGGGCTGGTGCGGGTTTTAGCGAGCAGTTATTAGATCAGATCCAGCAGATCCCTATCTCGGGGGACGGTTCAGATAGCATGAGGTGGAGACTTACATCATCAGGTGCGTTTTCTACTACCTCGGCTTGGGAGCAGATAAGGCTGAGGGATCGGCCTAATCTCCTCTTCGGGGCTATCTGGAGTGACCTTTTCACGCCTACTATTTCGGTGTTCCTTTGGCGCCTCCTCTTGCGCCGGATACCCGTCGATACTGTGCTACACGCGAGAGGGATCTCCTTCCCCTCTCGGTGTGTGTGTTGTTCTGAGACTGGACGCCATGAGACTGAGACCTTTACCCACCTTTTTCTAGAGAGTGAGATTGTGAGGAGAGTGTGGGAGCATTTTGCCACTTGGACTCATATATCCCTACCCACCACATACAGTTTTTTTGAGCTCCTGAGTTTTTTCTCACAGAGCACACACCTTAGACATGTGGGCTTCCTCATTCCTTGTCTGATCCTTTGGTTCACCTGGACAGAAAGGAATAGTGCGAAGCATAGAGATATTACTTTTATGTTTTCTCACATTGTTTTGCAGGTAGAGAGATACATCTCACTCCTCACCGCATTGGGCAGGCTCACGGCCCGAGACTGGACAGGCTGCACGCTACCGCATCGCTACATGGTGGCCCCACCACTGCCTGTTCGGCCTCCACGGGCCAGAGCTGTTGTTTGGCTTCGACCTGACTCTCCGTGGGTCAAGCTGAACACTGATGGCTCCTTTGATCGCCACACTGGACTTGCCGGAGGAGGAGGCTTGATTCAGGACCATAGCGGTGCCCTCATCACCGCCTTCCACGCGTCCATTCAGGCCTCCTCGAGCTACGATGCAGAGATTCAGGCACTACAGATTGGCCTTCAGATTGCTGTCCACCTCTCTAGTCATATATGGATCGAGCTGGATGCTGCGGCTGTCACTACCCTCCTGACTTCGGGCCATCAGGGCTCGTGGCAGATTCAGCACCCGCTTCTGCGCATTAGAGATATACTTCAGTCAGTCCATCACAGGATCACGCACATTTTCCGTGAGGGGAACAGACCGGCTGATTACCTGGCCAGCCTTGGCGCCACCATACCAGGCACACATACACTCCATACCGACACTGCTCCACTCCGTCTTCGCACTCTTGTACGGATGGACCAGCTTGGATATCCAGCTTTCCGCTTTCACTAGTTTAGGATTTCTGGTTTTCATTAGTATAGACATTTATTTCGGGCATCTGTTAGCCCGAAGATCGACCTTATATTGTAGTTTTTGTTTCTTTTTCGTTTTTCGGTTTTTCTTTATTATTTTTCTTTGGTTTTTGTTTTTGATTGTCAGACTATGTAGACCTTTGTATCTTGTTCGTTGACATTTTGGGCTCCCGCTTTTGGGGCCCTGATCTATGCACAGGTTGGGGATCCAACCCAATCCCCCGTCCTTCCGGGGCGTTGTTTGTTTAAAAAAAAAAAAAAAAAAACCTAGCAACAACAAACAACTAACTTAGCAACCAAATAAAACTAACCTAGCAAGAAAGAGATAACATAACAAAAAAGACAAATGATCAACGGTCAACGCCGAAGTCAACGGTCAACGCCGGAGTCAACGGTCAACGCTAGAGTCAACGGTCAATGGTCATAATAATATTTAAATAATTAAAAATAAAGAATTAAATAATGAAAATAAAGAATTATTATTTAAATCAAGATCTAAATGTTGTGGCTAGGAATGAGTCTCACGTCCTCACTTTAAATAAGCGGATGCATTTGAACCAATCCCCTTTTATATATGTATAATTAATTTCTATTGATATAAATGTTCTCTCTCTTTTTGTTCCTTATCTACTATTCCAAGTTTGATGTTCATGTTGCACTAAATATTATTGATCATGATTTAATTGAACAATTAATCCTTTGTTCTACTAGCTGTAGGAAGTGAAATTCATACACAAAGTTATAGGGTTAAGACTCATAAGCCTAGATTCCCGAGTCTAGATTGATCATAGCTTTATATATCAATCTCGAGTCTAGATAAAACTAAATTTATCGCAAGTATTAGATGTTTGATCAAGTCACAAGAAAATTTAATCAGTAGGGTGCTTATTAAGGTTGAAAGATCAATTAGAAGTCTCCAAAATAGGATAGAAAAAGCATCCTGCATGTGGTCAAGCTTCTATGTTAGCAATATGATAA